ATTTGGAAGTGACAGAACTTTGCTTTTGTGTTTAAAACAAGTTGGCTTTGACCCACAAACATGTTTATGAAACTCAACTTTCTATAGATTGGTGTCCTTTGCAATACCTCAGTAGGGCAGAAGCCTGGCAAAGTACTTACAAGGGTGCTGGTCAGCCAGCCAGCTGCCAGCAATGTTAATAGCAGCTGAGTTTTACTTGTTTTTCTTCCAATTGCAAAATGAATTTTGGTCTCCCTCCTCATCCAGCTGCCAATTCTTCTTGCAGCTATTAGAGTAGAATAATCTTTGAGACTTGACTGGTAGGAAGCTGGCCAAAGGGATTTAAAAAAGGGACTGGGGCAGAAGAAATGACAGACAGATGATCAGACAGTCTAATCAAAACCATGTTATTTTCTTAGGAAACCTGCTAAAATGATTGAGTAATTTGACTGCAAAACAGAAAACAGTATGAATTGGACTCAGCAGTCTTCTGGCTCTTGTGCACGATGTCAGATACTTAAATTGACATTTGGGAGTTCTACTTCCACAGAGTAATTTTTAGACAGCCAACAGGCAGCATTGCAGCTCTGCGACATCCTTTCTGGAGGTTGCCTGGCATTTGAGGTGGGAATGCTGTAAAATGCAATTTATTTCCTCTTCCTCTTCCACTAGTAGCATCAGGGATTTTCAGTATGCTTCCAACAAAGTTGCTGGATACTTTGTGCCATTCTTCCTCTCTTATTCTCTGTACAACATTGCTCCGAGCAAAAAAACAGAAGAATGCCATCAGATACAGATAATTAAACAGCTGTCAGCAGAAAGGTGATGCTCATTAAAGGAGGGGGCTCCCAGAGGTGTCCCCACCCTGCCCTGGGTGGCACACTGGGGCCAAAGACAAAGCATTGGTGCAGCTTTTTGCCTCCCCATCGTGTCTTGGGATGGGACTATTCCTGCAGTAGGCCCTGTACTAAAGGGCTGAGGCCCAGGGGACAAGTCAGGCAGGAAGGTATGTCATCACACTGGTGCGTTTCAAGAGATAAACCTTCTGTCCTGTTTTGGTCAGATATCTGGAACACCAGAAGAATGCTCTTGGTGGAGGGAGCCTTCGTGTCTCTGGATTTTCTGCATAGGTTTTGAGAAGTACAAGGCAAAGATAGAGAAGAATGGGCAGGAGAAGCTGACCAGTGATTATGTAAGATGATTGAATGCTAAGGGTAACTGTTTTGCAAGAAATACCATATTCACATGTTTAAATCCCATATCTTGAAAGCACACGAGTGGGACAGACACTGTAAGGATATTTCTGCCCTGAGTATAAAGTAACAACTGCTGTTGTGTGAACAGTCATCCAAAGCCAGGTTTTGTTCTACATTTTGATGCTTTTTTTTTTTTTTTTTTTTTTTTTTTTTTGGTTATATAGCAGATACAAATTGCTACTATTTCAGTTTAATATGACTTTGGCATTATTTCATCTTCAGTTAATCCAGTTAGGTTGCGGGGTGACCTCATTGCAGCCTTTCAGTACCTAAAGGGAGCCTACAAACAGGAGGAGAATCAAATCTTTGAAAGGGTTGATAACTGCAGGACAAGGGGAAATGGTTTTAAGTTGAGGGAGGGAAGATTTGAGTTGGATGTCAGGGGGAAGTTCTTTTCTATGAGAGTGGTGAGGTGCTGGAGCAGGCTGCCCAGAGAGGTTGTGGATGCCCCCGTAGGTGTTCAAGGCCAGGTTGGATGGGGCCCTGGGCAGCCTGGTCTAGTATTAAACATGGAGGTTGGTGGCCCTGCATGGGGCAGGGGGGTTGGAGATTCATGATCCTTCAGGTCCCTTCCAACCTTGGCCATTCTGTGATACTCACTGGAAAACACCTCCTAAGAGTGTTCCCCCATAATGAAACAGAATTTTGGGTGGAATAGGATACGATTGCTACAGGGGCTTTAAATCCATCAGTTCATTTTTCAGCTGACTGCTCTGCATTCAGCAATGTAACAGATCCTCCTGCTGGAAGATGCAAGATGCAAAACTCGTTTCTCATGTGACCTAGTAGGAGTAAATCCCACTCCCTGCCTGTCCAGGGAAGCATGGAAGACAAAGCAATCTGTGTAACAAGGGAAAAAATGTTGATCGGCCTGCTGGCATTTGAATCTTGCTGTTCTTGCTCTTCTCCCTCTGACATAAGAGCTGTTCTTATCATATTGCAGGAGGGGAAGCCCCACCAAAGAGCCTGTCGCATGAGAGCATGTGGTAGGAGTGCCTAGCTTTATTGTGCAGAACAGACTGAAAACTTGCAACAGCACTTTGGGTTGAATAAGTATACAGCCTTGGGCTGAGTTACTGATAACTACTCTTTGTTCTTCTACTTGGCTATCCTTATCAGGGAAACCAAACAATTGTGTGTGAGAGTTTCAGAACTGAGGAGTGTATTTGCTTGCAGTTTTAGAGCTCATCTGCCTCTTTCAAGTGAATGGGGAGAGGTTCCCTGTTCACAGCCAGAGCCCTCAGTCTTTCCTAGCAGAGCTGGCTCTCAATGCTCTGCTTTGCACCCTTGTCACCCTTCACAAATGCTGGTGTGTTTTAGTTCAAAGGTATGGGATCAGAACTGTTTGTGCAGTGCTTGCCTCTGGTTTCTGAGGACTTGTGTTGCTAGCCTATAGGGAGGAGTTTGTTTCCAATGTTTTACTTTTGGCCTGGCCAGACCTTAACAGAGGGTTAATAGGACTTCCTGGAGGGGAAATGTGCTGCCTAAGATGTCTCTGAGGAAGGACTTCAATACTCAGATTTACTAGTCTAGGTGCTTTAAAAATTCAATTTCCTCTCTTCTGAAAGCATACACCAAACAGGACAGCCATTCCATCATACAGACTTTGCTTTCACCACTCATTTCTCTGCTTCCAAGAAAGCCTTGCTTCCAGTTGTCCATCACTTTGGCTGCTCTCTGAATTTCTAGTAGCCAAGCTGCTCTACAGTGACAGATTGAAATGCAGCAGTACTCAGTGAATGAGATTTCTGCATCTCAATCTATGTTTTTTCTCATCTAAACAACTGCAAGTTCTTCTACAGACAGTACCCTACAACTCTACATTTTTTTTCTATCTCTCTGTAGACATCTGTGAAAGCTCTGTTCCTCACCCTTGTTCCTTCATTCGTGTTGATACCCTGATAGCCCAAGCCGTGGCACTGGGACCAGTATGGATGGGACAGGATGTAAAGAACATCCTCTACACTGCTGCTGGAGACAAAGGTCCCACTTGGAGTCTGTGGCAAAGAGCCTCAGGAGAGACCTAAAGCTGAACCCCTGGGGTTCTGCAGTTGAGCACATGGGGTCTGAAGAGTGCCACACTCCAACTGAGAAGGATCTTAGTTGTGTGTGAGGGGGTTCATGGCTGCTGTCTGAATGAACCCTTTTTTTTTTTTTTTTTTTTTTCCACCTGACTTCCCTTCCCCATCTCCCTAAGCAACTGTGATTGGTCATAAACTGGTTGAGCTAACCCCTTGTTAGCTCAACTGCATGCTTAAAGGAAAGGCTCCCTTCACCCATCATGCTACTCATGCCACTTGGAGTAAGTGTATTGTGTTGATTACACAACAATGTCATGTGGGGAACCTCAGTAGTCCAGGAATCTTAAAAGTGATCACAGACTGGCCTGAGGATATAATGTTTGGAACGGCATCAGGAGAAATACTGCATGCTACAGAGGCCCACAATCCAATGAATTGCCAGAAAACAAAAAGAAATATGTCCTGTTCACTGACGGGCCATGTCGAATTGAGGGGAAGTGCTGCAGATGGAAAGCTGCAGTGTGGAGCCCCACACAGCGAGTTGAAGAAGCCACTGAAGGTAAGAGAGAATTGAGCTACTTTGCAGAGGTAATGGCTGTCCAGCTCACCTTAGGTGTTACTGAGGAGGAGGCGTGTGTGGGGGAAGTCCTTATACTTTATACAGTCTTTATACTGACTCATGGATGGTGGCAACTGCCTTATGGGGCAGTTGCAACAGCAGCAGTGGCAACAAAACAGCTGACAAAGAAGAAGTAAACTTATTTGGGCTGCTGAACTGGGGAAAGTTGCCCAAAGAAAGATACGGTTGTAAAGGTGCACTGTGTAGATGCTCATGTGCCCAAAAGTTGAGCTACTGAAGAAAACCAGAATAACCACCAAGGACATAAAGCTGCCAAAATTGAGGTGGCTCAAATGGTCTTGGACTGGCAAAACAAGGGTGAATTATTTCTGGCTTGGTGGGCCCATGAAACCTTGGGCCGTGAAGGAAGAGATGCACCGAGTAAATGGGCTAGAGACCAAGGGGTGGATTTAATTATGGATACTACTACTCAGGTTATCCATGACTGTGACATGTGCCACAATTAAGCCAAGAAAATGAAACCTCTCTGGGGGAAGGGTGATGGTGAAAGTATAAATATGGGGAGGTGTGGCACCTTGCTATGAACTCACGATGGTAAGCGTTATGTGCTTACTGTGGAGGCAACAACTGGGTGTCATATGCAGTACCCCATTCTACTGCCCAAGGTCTGGAGAAGCAAGTCCTATGGTGACATGGCACTCCAGAAAGAATTGAGTCAGAAAATGGGACCCATTTCAAAAATTCCCTTGGAAATACTTGGGCATTGAGTGGATTGATCATATCCCCTCACATGCACCGGTCTCTGGTAAAAAATCAAATGGTACAATGTATTGTTAAAACTGTATTGAAAGCAATGGGTAGTGGAATATTTAAGCATTGGGAGCAGCATTTGGCAGAAGCCACTTGCTTGGACCATATTCGTGGATCTATCAGTCACGATGGTTCTACCTAATCCAGCTCCCTACACAATGTACAGGGAGATAAGTTCCCTGCAGTACCATGTAAAGAACGTGTTGGGAAACACGGTTTGGATCTTCCCAGTTTCTGGAAAGGGCAGACCTCTCCATGGAACTGTTTTTGCACGGGGACCTGGGTTCACTTGGTGGGTTATGCAGAAAAACAGGGATTGTTGGTGTGTATCACATAGTGTATTACTACAAAAAATTAAGAGACTAAATGAAAATTTTAGTCAGAGGAAAGCATTCCAATTCACTACTCCATCACAACATTGTTTATTGGAGGTGTCACAGAACAACAACTAAGACATTTATGTTCAGAATAAACGAGGTCTAAAGATTTATAAGGTCTACGGGTGGTGGTTTAAGAGGTATCTTTCCTAGTGTGAACCTTTTGGCTTCAAACTGTTCCAACTCTTCAGCTGTTAATTCACTCCTTGGTGTATATAGCTTGTCTGATGTGATACCATTTAGGACTGCAGAAGGTGTGGCTGTGACGTTATGTCCAGAGGCACTGGCAGCCTGTGCAGCTGAAGTATTGCTTGCACCTGACTGAGAAGTTCCTGTCGCTGCATTAGGGGTTCCAGAAACTGTAAGTGGAGCAGTGCTTGAAGAGTTTGCAGCAGCAGAATTTCCAAAGCCTGAGAGTCCAGAAGTTCCAGAGCCACTGGTTGTTCCAGAAGTTTTAAATGAGAAAGAGGCTGCAGATGGAGCTGAAGAATTGCCAAACCCAATAGGAGTGGGAGCACTGTGGGAGGACTTCACACCAAATGTAGGGGGATTGGAGGCGGCAGCAGAGCTCCCAAAAGCTGGAGCATTTCCAGATGGAACACTGGGATTTGCTTTAAAGGAGAAACTGGCAGCACTGCTGCTGCTGCTGCTGCTCACTGGAAAGCCTGCAATTATGAAATGTATAAGGATGGTCAGAATGGGTCCACCTGTGATACTGAAACACTGCTGCATTTCAAAAACGCAGAAGAACTTTTAAAAATGTCTGTTTAAGTGCTGGTTGTTTATGCATGAAACTTACTTGGAAAACCAAAGCTTGAGGCTTGCTGTCCTCCAAATCCAAGAGAAGGTAACGGTTGACTGACTGCATTCTTTAACTGAGATAGCTTAAAAAAATTCCAAATACATAAATGAAAACTACATTCCAACACAGGCAAGTATCTTTCAATCAGTGCTTAACACGAAAATGTATACGTGCCATCCAATTTAACATTACTCAGACAAAGTTAATTAGACACTGATCACAAACTATTGCAGCTATAAAGAAAATGCTCTCAGGCTATTCTCTGTCAAACACCCTAGAAGCATAAATCTGTAATTGTAATCACCAAACTCTCTTGGAGCTCTCATTCTCATCTCAGTCTGCTCTCTGAGTGTTGCACAACAACCATCTGTGCTGAAGTCTGGACCCCACCTTTTTAGCTTCAGAAAAGAGCAAGGGCTCCAAATCACATTACAGAAACTTCAATGCACTTCACGCAGCCATCACCTAAATTGACTTACACCATCTCCCTGATCACTGAATATTGGCTTGAACTGTTCTGCTGAGTGTCCTCTTCTGACACACCTGATTCACAATTGTTATATGACCAAGACACAAACTGAAAGTACAGGTATTTCCATGCAGCTTATAATGATAATTTTCCAACACTGAGATCCAGCTACTGCCTTGCTATCTTGGAATCACCGTTATTCACTCTTTTCCTTAATTAACTAATGAGGTTCATTTATAATACAACTTGCAAACAACTCATTGATTTCATGATTCTAGAGAAAGGTAGATTGATGAACCTAAGCTGTGTTCACAGACTTCCATGTTCATCTGACTGGCACAGTGCTCAAGTATTCACTCAAACTCTTCTATCACCTATAAAAACATACTGAAATAGGCACGGTGCAGATTTCAAACTGCAATTATTCCCTCACGTAATTCCTCCTTTTAACCTTTCCAGTTTCTTTAATGCTCCCAGGAGCACTCTAAGATTACTCTTAAGATCTTCATGCCGCTGGTCAGCCAGACCCTTTTTTGCCAGATGTTTTCTTGTGGCTGCAGTGCCAGAATAAAACACATCATGGTTGAGATACTCAGAACAGTTCACATGTTTACCATTAGAACTGACACTGAATGTAGGAATGAAACTTTCTCAAGCCTCGGGTGTTAAGGCACAAACAAGGATGCACTATCACATATATTTGGTAGTAAGTCTGTGTCCTAAAATGCTCAAAGCAATACCTGTCACCTACTTTAGTAGTAAGACTGCAGGAGAATCCTTTGATAACAGCAGCAGTATCTATAGAAAATTTGCAACCTGTCTTTATTGAAAACAAGGTTGCATATTGTAACTATCGTGCCTTAGAAATTGTTTCATTAACAGCCTTTCAAACAGAAACTGATGTTGGTGTAAGCAAGACAGCTTAATTGGCTCTGACTAAAAAATCTGACTAAAAAACAGAATTGTCAGAAAAACCTCTGCTCAAGATTTAAGAGAAAAGCAATAACAGGAACAGAAATAATTTACCTTTCTTTAACACTTACCAAGGATGCTTTTCCTGAGGCATTTAAAGCCTTCAGCTCTTGCAGCCTGTTTCTCCATTGCTGCACTAACTGATTGACAGAGTTTATCTAAACATGGGAAAACACAAACATGCTCTTATTAAGTGTTATTAAAAAAAAAAAAAACTAGTAAGATAAAAACTAGTAAGATTTAAAACATTTCCTGGAGCTTTCTAAATTGAGGCTCTATCACTATCTGAATAGGGTGCTTGCAAAAGAAAACAAAAAACACAAGTCTGAAATGTAAAAGACGAAGCTTTTCTGTTCTTGTTGTATTTCTGGCCCATCCACATATGCGCTCAATCCTTAAGCTCATGCCCTAAGTCTGTCTTAGCTTCTATCACGTCTTCAGAGAAACAAAACAACCATTTTCAAATCAGAACACTTCCAACTATTTTAGCAGTTTCACCTTAAAATCTTTAGCTTTGCAGAAATGAACTCGCTTAATTTAAATCAGTTCCTTTAATGCAAACCAACAGACTGCTGCACACAACTTATGCAGCAATAAATAGTAACTGTGCCTTAGTAGCTATGACTGAAGTGCTACGTAAGAAAAGTGATTAATATTTTTCAGAAATTTCCACACTTAAATTTACAAAAACACCACAACTGAAGCTCTGCCTACCTGAATTTTCCTGAAAAAACAAAAAAAGTCAACTCATGTTCCAAATGCTTCCAAGAGCAAAGTGCTGAGTATTTTTATTACTGGATTTCTTAATTTTTCCAAGAGAATCTTGCACCACAAACATCAATAATTCTTTTGTGTCTAGTCACATGCTAAGAGATCACGTTGTTTGCTATCAGCTCTTATAAAACAGACTGGAAAATACAGGTTTTGCCCCACATTATGCACAGAAACTCATGCTATGGATAATACATTTTGTACCTGCATAATTTGTGAGGCCTGTGTCACGCAGCTATCAGAAAGAAGAAGGTAAAATCATAGACTTGTTTGAGTCAGAAGGGACTTTTAAAGTCATCTGACCCAAATCCCCTGCAACAAACAGGGAACCTACAGCCAGACCAGGTTGCTCAGTTATGGCAAAACATTCAGGCCAGCAGGTCTACCTACCTTGAATGCACCCACATAAAAGGTCAGTTTTAAATACTTACGTAGTTCTCAGTGTTACTGTTTGCGCTGCATTTATAATACTCCAGACGCACCTCCTCAGGTGAGAAATCTTGAAAACCTGCAGGGAGGCAAACAATCAACATGCTCCAAAGGAAATACAACAAAGATACAAAATTGCCCTTCAGAGTTTTACAAGAAACTGCCCTTGCTAAACCACCTGTGACAAGCCAGTTCTGATTGGAGATGCAAAAAGGACTCCCGGCGCAACTTCGGAGGTGCAAACACACAAATACCATCATCTAATGCCCTACCTGCTGCATCACAAAGCAAGTCATCACCTTGCAAGTGGTTACATTGAGGCACGGCAGTGTGGACAAATATAGAAATACATTCCAAACAGTAGCAGCACTCAGCAACGCTCAGCAACGCTCAAAATGTTACCTACCTGAAACATTAGGCTTATCTTTCATAGGTGAGTAACATGAAAACATCCACTGTCTAGATGATTCCCAGCTTGCCATGTCTTTTGCTATACAGTCACTAGGAAACAAAACGGAGCAACAAAAGAAGAAATTACACAGTCAGAAGCAAAACTGTGAAAAGCAAAGTCAAACTCCAATAGCCAAAGCCATTCGAATTAATTCCATAGGACGCTGCTCAGAGGGAGCAACTGAAGTATTCAGTTATCTGTGAAAGACACGACAGTCACTCTGCTGGACACACAGACTCCCTACAAAGCATTTTACCATATCATCAAACCACAAGTAACTCACATCAGATCTTTACGAGAAACAAAACCACACAAGGCATTTTTAATCCTTGGCAGCATACACTGTTACAGGTTTTTCCCTGAAGCTGTTTGACTACAATAAAATTGAAAACCTTCTCAGTACCAGCTAATTTTACAATATGAATGAACACGTGTGGTACTGAAAAGCAAAACTCAGTAAAGGGGAGTGGAGAATAGTTCTATGTTTTTTTCTTTTATTTTGCTAAACAATCAAGAGCACTGAAATCCAAACTTAGCAAAAGTACAACAGAAGCTACAGCAAAAGAATGAAAGCCCAACGGTTAAAGTGGAGGTTAAACAGTAGAAGCAGGTCACTAAATACTAATTGCAAATATTTCAGATGTTTGCAATACTACATACATTTACAGTTCAGAAGCCAGGTAAATAATTTGTTAAACATTTTCTTAACATAATCATAAAAAGTAACTGCAGGTGGTAGCGCTGCTCACTTTCCAGGTTCCAAAGCTCTATTTCTGCAGGAAATCACACTGCTTGTTGCATCTCACCACATGCCTGGTAATGGGTGTGAGCACGGTGGTCACTTTCAACTGGGTCTGAAACCAGGTCTCATTAGATTCGATATAGGTAGAATAATGTATTATCTTTAATATCAGGGAAACTAAGCCAACTAAAGGCTCAAATTTTAACAGGCTGAAATGCCATTTATGGTGCTTTGAGCCTTTAATTTCAAGCACTGAAATCTTAGCTTCTCCTTCATTACACTCCTGTGGGCAACTTAAACACCATACTGTCTTCCTAGGATCACAGCTGTCCAGCTGCCCTACCCAGCCTCAAAGCAAAGATTGCTTTCTTCCTGCATCTCCGGATCTCAAGATAATTAAACAAAGCAATGTTTCTTACAGTTCTCCCCACACATCCCAGCTTCCATCCCCCAGAACACATCCTCTCCATTATCCAGAGGAAGCCAGTAGGCAGTTAAACAGCTCATCGCAGGCACTTCCCAGGGGACAGGGCCATCACTTACAAAAGTCTCTGTTCTTCATCACTGAAGCCATCACCAGAGTTTGCACTGCTTAATGCAGAGAATCTGTTCTGTGAGAAGACCGTGCTTTTGTCGCCCTGTGATCCAAAACCGGAGGCGCCAGAGAATCCTCCTCCATCACTGCTGCCACCCCACGTGCCGTGCTTAAATGTAGGAGGCTGGATGACGTTCGCGTATCTCTGGGTAGCGGCACCCCATCCTCCTCCGGCTCCTCTGACGGGACCCGCTAAGGAAGAAGAAAGGACGCAAAGCGTTTCACACGGGACGCGACTGGCACAACGCCGACGGAAACGAGACGTTCTCCCAGCGAGTCACCCCGGCGCAGCCCCCCGCGCAGCCCCGCCACGGCGTCCCCGCGCGCACAGCAGCCGGCCGGCCGTCCCGCAGGACGCGCACACGGGGGTCCCGTCCGGGCGGAGAGCGCCCGCGCAACGGCTGTGCCGCTCTGCGGAGGAGCCCCGCGCCGCTTCCAGACGGCGGGTCGGCGCGGGCACGCCTCCCGTCCGGCGGCCGCAACGCCGCACCGCAGCCGGCTCGGTGCCGCCTCTCGGCTCTGCTCCAGCGCTCGGGAGCCGCTTTCGAGTTACGGCCGGGAGGCAGGAGGCGCGGGTGCCGGACACGCGCACCCAGAAGCGACGCTTCGCGAACGACCGCCTCACCTCGCAGCCCACGGCGACTTCTCCGCAGCGCGCCGCGGCTTTGCTCCCCCTCCCTCCCTCCTTCTGTGCCCATCTCCCCACCTCCCGGTACCTGAGTGAGGGCGGCCCCCGCCGCCGCGGGGATGCTCGTTCCAGCACCTGTCGCCGAAGCGGCAGCGACCCTGCAGGAAGAACTGACAGATGGCCATGGCCAGCCTGGCCAACCGCCGCCGCCAGCTGCCGCCGCCGTGACGTCATAGAGGAGCGCCGGGCGGCGCCGAGCGGAATGCACGCGCGTGGCCCCTCCCCCGAGCGCGGCGCGGCTCCGCCTGCGCCGGGCCGGCCGCCGGCGGTAGCTGGCTTCGGCGTAGGCGCTCCTGCCCCGAGCCGAGGTTCGGCTTCGCCGGTACGCATCTCCAATAAGCAAGGAGCCAGAAGGAACGCAACGGCGGAGGCTGCAAAAAACTTCCGGTACGGCCCCGTAGTTGAGGTACCGATTTCAACACGGCCCGGGCCCGCAGTAAGCCGTAAGAGGAGAAAAAGAACAGCGCAAGGCCCCTCTCTGACTGAGGAAATGTACGCAGCATCGCCGCCCGCAGAGCCGGACAAGTTTACCTTACGCTGGAAGAACCACCGTCGTCACATTTAATGTGTCTGCTGGAAATTTTTTCTTATAAACCAGAGCAATAACCAGGTGCAACCTCAGAAGACTTCTATAAAATAACTTTAATGACTTGGTTCATGCCATTTTAAAAACAGCCATTTTCAAGAAGAAAAATCAGTATGTTTCTGGTACTGACTTTGCTTTCTTATTCTTATTCCCATCTTTGCTAACAGCTTGGCATTCACAGTACATCCAGTCGTTTGCCTGGGAGGGTGTACTGAAAATTAACCTCAAGTTCCTAACCTGCTTACACAGTCTACAATTACTGCAGACCTTCCCCACCCACCTCCATCTACTAAGAAAGTCTTTTTGTGATAGCTTTCCAAAATGCCAAAGATGATACTAAGCCAAGTATTCCTCAGATCTGTGTATACATGATATATATGGTCTGTCTGACTTGGAATTCAATATGCAGTCACCCAGATGAAGATGAAAATCACTGGCATAAGACAGTTGGATACTCTATCACTACAGGAGTCAAACAGCTGTTCTTGGTCTTTCCTGAGCAAAATGTTCACGGCATCAAAATAAGATTTTTGCAGGTATGTATAAATGAGAAAAGTTTGTGTTCCTAATGATGCAAGATATATTTACTCACCTTTATCAAATGAAGAAATATGTTTGGGTGTCATTTAACCACAAATGTTATCTTTATCAAATGGTTTGAGCTCTTCTAAATAACTGGGTTGGGTCTTTTTTTTTGACAAGGCAGCACACAGAGTCCTTTTAAAGGAAGATGTGACGTGTTCAGGTAGGTATGTGAATTCTCAAAGCACATCCCCATCTCAAAACAGACAATAAAATGGGCATCACAAAAATCCATGTTATACAATAAGACTGCATTTCAGTTTTTCCTATTACTTGGTATAACAAGATTCAATAAAACATGGAAGCAAAGTACCAATGGCCATCTTTCCCCAAGTCCTTGAAGAATTTCTTTGCATATTCTACAGATTTTCAGGTCTCTAAAGTTTCTTCATTTGCACCACAAGTGTCTACGACACAGATTAAACAACTTGTCACTGGGAAAGCACGGACTTTGGAGTTGGCTATCCACTTGTCTGTTTCAGTATTATACTCAAGAATGTGCCCTAATCTACCAACACCCTGAAAACCAGCCAGGACATAAACTATGGATCCCACAGCAGCACACTTCACTGTTACACCTTTCCATGGCATTGGAGACACCATCTTCCATTCATTCATCTTGATATCATAATATTCTACATTATCAAGGCCACCTAAAAAGCAATGAAATAGAGAAGTTACTACAGCGTACTGTCTAGGATGAACTTGAGTACAGAATGCTACATAAAACTTTTCAGAGTTTACATTAAAATATATAACAGACAAAATCCTTCAAAGGAAAGGTCACGATTTTCTAAACTAGCTGTTACTCACTCTTTAAATACAGAAACAGAAGGCAAGAAAGACTGAAAATGAGATGCGCTGCTACAAATTTCACATTGTGAAGATTCTAATGAGTTGCTCCACAAACACAACAATACCTGATTTCTCATGGATTTGTGGGTAGTAACCAAAAGTTAAGAATCCACCTGAAAAATTATCTCCAGTGAAGCCATGTCATTCTAGTTGGTTCATCCCCATACCTTTACATCAGTAGGCCACTTACTGATGAAACTTCAAATATGTTTATATCGTAAAAACCTAAGTCACTTTTCAAGGGCCAACAGTTTCAAAAGTTATTAAGGAAACTACATTATGTGAAGTATGTAAGAATTTCTTCTTTAAGACACAGGTCACACTTCACAATATCTACAAACATCTTATTATACATACTTAAAAATAAATGACTATGAGGCACAGAGAAGTTTTCACTTCCAGTCCTGAATTATTAGATCTGAGAGATTAACTTCTATAATCACAGAAGATATTTCATTCCAGACATAACTCTTTGCCATTATATTAAATTAAGAACAATTTATCATTGAAGTTGCAGAATATGAGCAGCAAAACAATATTTTACTTATTAGTTCAGCAACATGCATTCAGCAAACACTAAAACCTTGCAAAGTGACAGCTGTGGCTATAACTGTTTAGTGAAGCGCACAAAAAATTATACATACTAATATTTTTGAATAGGAGTCAATCATGCTGGAATAGTTTTAGTGACTAATTAAAATACAAGCTATATTCTAGAGCAGCATTAATGTGAATTTAGATATTCTAGTTACCATAAATAGTGATTAATAAACCTCATAGCTGAGAACTTTCATTTTCAAAAGCGCTTCAGAAACCCTATGTAATTAAAATTGAAGTTCAACTCTCCTGGGAAATCAACTATCATCCCAGTTTTACAGATAAAGAGACAGACCATGACCGTAAGTCACATTTCATTAACTAGGGCAGTCACGAAAATTCTCTATTTTTCACCACTTGAAAATAGCTGACTAGCTTTAAATCTTCAGACTGAAGTTCCTAGAATAGTGATGACACTTTCACCTGTTTTGTTTAGAGGAATGACAAAGTCTCTTGAAATAGAAAATGAAAGACTTAAAGCAAATACACAAACTAAAAGACTGCCTTTTGTTAAGATATTTGACTTGGCTATATTAGTATGGATGCATTTCTGAATTTTACAGTACTAAGAGACTGGAAAACAAGATATAATGAAGTATGGAGGTGAACAAAGGAATGCAACAATGTCAACAACAGAACATGTTTTATAGCACTGCTCAAAGTTTGTCCAGCTGAATAAAGTAGAATTAAGGCCCCATCAAAACTTTGCAAGTCCAGCTAGAGAATTAAAAGAATTGGAGTACCTAAGCCATTCTGTCCACCCACAGCAAATATTTTGTCCTTTACAAACACCAGTCCATGATTCTTCCTGGCTTCAATCATTGGACACAGCTCAGTCCATCTGAAGAAACAAATGAAAAAAAAAAAAAACAAACAAAATCACAGGAAAATTCACGGTTGGATTTCTTAAAATATACATATTAAATAAATCCTGGGGTTAGGAAAAAGAAGTATGAAAGAAAGCTACTGGATAAAATTAACTTTTTAAGTAAAACCACAAGTAGCTGATATACTACTGCTTCATTCATGATTACATGCAACTTATCGAATCCTAGAATCATTAAGGTTGGAAAAGACAACTAAGATACCCAGTCCAATGCCAGCCCATCCCCACTGACCATGTCCCCACCCACACAGTTCTCAAACACCTCCAGGGACGGTGACTCCACTGCCCCCCTGGGCAGCCTGTGCCAACGCGTCACCACTCTGAGAAGAAATTTTTCCTAATAACCAACCTGAACAACTCGTGGCACAACTTGAGGCCATGAGCTCTCATCCTATCAGGAGATAGCTGGGACAAGAGTTCTTCTCCCAGCTCTTCCCTGAGCCTCTACTTCTCTGGACTCAACAATCCCTGTTCCCTCAGCCTAAGACCCGTGCTCCAGACGCTTCATCAGGTCCCCTGCCCTTCTCTGGACACACTCCCAGGCCTAGCTGAGGGGCCCAATTCTTCCTGTTCATCTATATTACATTTTGCAGGGTGAACAAAAGCGACCATAAATACTCAGTTGACACAACACTTACGTTTCTGTGGCCGGATCATAAACTTCACAGGAATTTAGTACTCTTCCGGAAACATTGTTTCCCAAGCTCCCTCCACACACGTAAATGAGACCATTCGCCTCTACCATTCCGTGACTGCAGCGTTGAGTCAGCATGCTGGGCTTTGTATGCCAGCTTTCGGTTCTCGTATCGTAGCATTCAAACAAATACAGTGCGGAATTTCCTTAAAGAAATAAGAAACCCACCAAAGTGGCATTAATTTTGATGGTTGTCCCCCAAGAGAAGAGACTAACAGTACTTATCAAACTGGCGCTTTGTTAGTTGAAAAGGGAAAGCTGCTTTCCACCGCTAAAAACAGAGCTAACCAACTTGAAATTTGGGATACTCAAAAAGCACATACTTGTAATTCTTTTCTTGGCTCTTTTGTTCCAAAGGATGTGAGTTTATATAATTGCTGTTTGTGTTTGAAAACAAATACAAATGATACAGATTTATTTCAGGAGGGGCAGGGGGGGGCTGGGGCTAGAAAGACTGAATGAAGTTGTATATAAATTACTGATCAAATTTCCATCATCTCATGTCTCAGTACTGAGAAGTGTACAGAACGTGGCATCTGTTTTGTAAACCTAACCGATTCACCTGAGTCTCTCTCTAGCAAAGTGACTCACGCTACTCCCAGAATATTTGGTGCTTTTGGAATTAGATAGCTAAATTATGTTGCAACATATTCCTGAATTATTAGCAATCACAAAACAGCTAACCTTCACCATTTTACTTTCTTTCCCTGGCAGACACTTGTATTTTCGCAAAGTGTGAGGTCTGTGCCGTCCACTCTCACGGCCCAGCAAGCTTACTGAATTACTGAAATCAAAAGCAACTTTTCTAATGAAGGTAAGTGGGAGTGTCAAGACTTGTCCTTAAATAACCAGCCATACTTAAAGCAGAGTAGACTGGGCACAGCTTTCACAGAAAAGAGCTAGGTGTGTTACACTAGCTGCACTCACTGCCAGCTGGGGAACTGGGCTGAAAAAAATCACACGGAACAGCACTACTTTTCCAGGTTCAAAAATGCAGGAGTAGATTTCTGTGAACCGTGTTTGCTTACTCCTACCACAGTGCTCAAAATCAGTAAGAACTGTGGAATGAGCCATATTTTTTTTCTTGATGTACATACACATCCATTGCTTGGAAGCTGTACAAATTCTTATACAGAGGAAATTTAATAAAGCTGTCTTTGATGTCTTTTTAGAGGAAAGCTTCTGTTTCAGTACACTGTATGTGGCTCTGGGCAGCCTGGTCTAGTGGCTGGTTACCCTGCACACAGCAGGTTGAAACTAAATGATCATTGTGGTCCTTTTCAACCCAGGACCATTCTAAGATTCTATGAATTACAACACTTTTAAATTAGTAGTTTCATATAATTGTTTGCTCCAGTTTAGAAAAATGTGAGACATACTTTTCTAGACAAGCAACATTCATTGGATTCCAAAGAATAAATAGACTTGCACAATAACCTGTTATTAATTTGTAGATTTTACTATTCTGTCTTAAATATGTATAGAAAACAAAGTAAAACAGTGCAGTACAGCAAGTGTAGACCAGAAGCAACTTTGAAGTTAACAATACTGTAATGTAGATGCATTAGAAAAAAAACTATCCAATGAAAGTTTGGATCACAATTCCTCATGATCATGGAGTGTGGGGAAACTGGGAAGTTCTAAAAGATTTTGCAGTTTTGTAGTGTTCCAAGCCTTAACCTGTTGCAAATAATGGGACAAGTGTTATGTCACATTTACCACACTAGGTGGCAGCCACGAACTATCTGCTGCTACATCAGATCTCTTAACACATTAGAAGTCAGATAACTTCACCTAAATGTCACAGCTTTCTATTGAGTGATGCATCAATTTTAGGCGCTCCTTATGACCCTTTTTGTCTCTTCACTTCCCTCTGCAGTGAGACAGAACTCAGGAGGAACTACTAAAAAATTTATCTGTAGGCATAGTGGTTTTTTTGTTCCTGTTGAGTTTTTTTGGGGAGAAGGCAGAACTTCAGAATTGTTTTCTTTTTCTTTTTTCTTTTAAGCTGTTTCTACAGATATGGCATATTTACATTCTACTTTTGGTTTGCTCAAGATGTACAATTTAGACAGAAATTAACAAAAGCTGTACTGCACTGCAGTGTTTCTTTACAGATGTTTTTCTTTCCTGGTTTGGGGAGAATTCAATGGTCTTTCTTCAACTACAATGAGTGAATGACATCTAAATTCTCCACTTACTGAAGCAAACCATCAGAATAATTAAAGAAGATAACTTCTGTCACTTGACAGAAACAAATCAGTTTACTGGGAGAGATACAATTTCACCACCAAAACCAGTCAATTACAAAGCTTTTTATCATCCCTTTTTTTCATTGATAATAAAAAAGCTCATCAGGCTCAACATATAAAATGAATAACACAATGCAGCTATTCTGGCCATTTGTCATGAAATTTTAAACCACACTGAGATCTGCAAATTTGTGTTCAGTAAACTAACAGCAGAGTGAGACTTTCAAACTATATTTGCTAGTTAGCTAGCAAATATCCCTAGTTAACTCCTAATGTGAGTAACACAATTTCAATCAGAAACAGAACACAACAGAAATAGGGTGTTGGATTTCAGGGAGAAGAGAATTCTAAATATGGGAAAATTAACTCATGAGGCTAACACAGCAACGTGCAGTTTCTTTTCAATAGAGTCATGCAAAAAAACAACATTTTCCAGGTATCTTTGTTTGTGCTTTTTGGGGGGTTGTTTTTAAAGATTTTTAGTGTCTTACCCACTTCTGAACCACCAGATGTATAAATTTTGCCCTCAGCAGCACAGGCTGCAAGGCTATCTCGAGGTGTTGGAGGTCCTAGCTTGGAATACCAGCTATCCTTCACCACATTGTAGCAGTCCATTCGCTTTATAGGGAAGAGCTGGGAACCACCCAAAATATAAACTACGTTGTCCCAGAAGACACAAGCTGCATCCCTGCGCTTTTCAAAGGGACATCGGATGTCTGTCCAGCTGTAATCCTGCATTACAAAGAACAAGTAATGTCTAATAGATTGTAACACTTACCTGCACAGCGAGTGTTTTTCAAACAGAGCTTTCATAGAGATCTAGATACGGTCAGTTTTAAATTTCCTTTTCAAAACAAACATGAACACTGTTTATTGAAGAATACTCCTCAGGCGTACTCTTGAAAAATTCACTTAGACACAGACATAGTTAGCTGCAATGAACCATGACATAATCAATTCCTATTTCCTCATTCCCTCTGTAGACCCAGTACAGCTTTCCTGAAAAACAGGGTTCTTTTCCCTCAACAGAATTGATGCCCTGCTGCTACCAAGTCAGAAACAATGCATGTAATCAATAAAGCAGAATTACTTTTTCTTTTATAGAAATGGAAAAAACATCTTACATATACTAAGAAACTCTTTCTCTCTAAGGAAAATAAATACAGAAAGTAAAACCAAACAAAGGCGATGGAAAAAGAAGATAATATCTCAATTGACAAGCAACTCAGTTGAAAAGCTCCAGTACATACTTTATTACCATGACAACTAGAAGCTTATTTACAGAATTTGCAAAACACAAGTGATCTATAGCTATCCACAGTTGATAGCATGAGAAATGGTGTAATGCTTTATCACAAATACTGGCAGTCATGTTGCCTAGAAACTGCTTTTGCATGGGTTGGCAAAACCAGCAAGTATCAAATATAGGCATTAATGCTACCCAAAGCCTTAAAAACACCAAACTCAGCAACTGATGGCAGACCAGGATAGCATACAGCACAAGAAACACTTCTTGAATAATTGCATCTCACATATTCCATGCCATCGTAAGCATAGCTTTTATCTTATGCTGAACAGGAAAGTTTGGGACCTTAACTGTTATCTGTCACCTCAAGATGGTCTAGCTAAACCAGCTGCATGACCTTCATTGTAATGAATCACACAAGACATTACAAGATTACATTTTCTTGGCAAGGACATACTTCAAACACCTTGGTCAGTGAGGAAGAACAGCGACTTCTACATGGGGGTTCAAAGAAAGAGGCAGAGCATGTTATAGTCCAAAACATCTTACAATCTTTTCCTGTAGCATCCCCCTTAGCAAGAAGAGCTGGCAGGTGCATGTGGCCCTTTATGATGAGAAACGCGTCCTGGGGCATCCTAGAAAGGAAAGCCATACTACAGCATGGCAAAATAAATAGCTGCATAAATCTTAAGAAAAACGTCTCAGTGCTTTGTGCAAGATCATCATATTTTCTGGCTCAAATTTCCAGCATTTTTACCAAAAAAAAAAAACCAACAACAAAAAACAACCCTGTTGTTTTCCCTTACTGTCGTAAGGGCTGCAATCTGACCCACTTCTGTGGCTTCAGTTCATAACTACCCTTTCATCCACACCTTTATCAAAGAACCGCAGGCTCTCCCATAACCTGAGCATACTCAGCAGAACCCGCCTCCTCCAGCACGAGGCACTTCAGCTCCTTCTCTTGGAACGCTCTTCAGTGTTGGTCTGCACCACACAGAATTTATTTCAACAGCTGCCTTCCGCCCCAGTCAAGATCCATACAACTCTGGGCAGTGGCAAGACTCATTTTGGGAAGAGGACCATTAGGAGGAAAGAAAGAACAAGATATATGGTGACAGTTTGCCTGCTGACCTTGGCTCTCCACAATTGCTCATGCAAGGACACCAGAGGCAAAAGCTGCATTAAATAGTTTTTGAAAGGCTTTTTTTTGCTTTTTTTTTTCTTTCTTTCTTTCTTTCTTTTTTTTTTTTTTTAAGACAAAACCAGACAAAACCACAACTTTCATGAATTTAACTTGCAGTGAACTGAACTGTTGTCAGCTACAAGACCCCATGACAACAACTCCTCATGTAGCTACGGGCAGTGTGAAAGAGTGGATCGGTGTGATTAAAGTGTTTTCTTCAATTTCAGTTGATACCCTGAAGAATAGCAGACGTGTCTACCATGGACAACCTTGCTATTAATAGCCTAGTATTGACAACTCCTTATCTCCTCCTAAGAGGCATGCTGGTTCTCCCATTTGTCAAGAAATAGCAATGCCAGGCACCTGTTTCATTTCCATTGGTGGATTTTGTATTATTAACAAGTTAGCACTACCAGCTACTTCTCCGAAAGTATATTCCTGCCTCAAAATCCTATAAACTCATGTATAAATTTTAAATAAGAATTCAAAAAGTATGTATTTTTGTTCCAATTTGGGAAAAAAAAAACAACTTTTTTCATTTGTAATGTTCTGTGGAAAATTCAACAAGAAAACACTTCCCAACACCACAAAAATGTCATCTCAGACTTTCTGAATAGTTCTAAAACCAAACATCTCTTCTCAAAATAGTGCCAGATTGCTCCATAGGAGTTTTATGTCCCAGTCTGCATCTGTTCCATCACTTTGCTCTCTTGAAGTACATGCATCAACAGAAGTATCAGATACAGCATAACAAGGACAACAAATATAGACGAAGTAATATTGTTAAACAATGACAAATAACAGTCTATTCATCCATAAAAAAAACCCTTTTTGACAAAGGAAATGAAGATCAACGTCAGAGACTGATTTTTGTATGCAAAGCGATGTTACTGAAAATAATTTTTGCACTAACCTTGCAGTATGAGAATTACTGAAAGTTGTATCATTCAAACAAGACAATATTTTCAGGAGAAACAGTCTAAGTTTGTCTGAACCACCTCTTCATCTGATATATTAGATTGCCGAATTTAATTAAAATCAAAAATAGAGGATTAGGGCACTATTCAGTCAGCTCAGCAGACAAAAAAATTCAATTCCTTCCTAAGGTCCTAACCTTGCAGAAGTACATATATAACCTTGATTTTTGGCACGGTGACAGCTCTATCATCTTTTGATGAGACTAATTAAAGCAAGCCAAACTTGTGATGTAGTGCCTTACATCCCACACTTCTTATTTTACATGCACATGATATTAATCCAGCAGGGGTTCTGGATCCTTGGTTTGTGGCATTTAGGCTACCGTCACAGTTGAAGATCAAACTGAAATACTCAAATATCCAGGAAAATATGCTTAAATAACTTAAAAGCTGTAAATAAAATAAGTAAGAGTGACTGAATAAGACACAACAGATTAGCTAGGAACACTCAAGGAAGCACATAAGCACTAGAAATAGTATTCAGTGGAGACAATGCTTATTAGAATCAGCCACTCACTTCTTTCCTTCTCCTTCCCTGCCCACCCCCAGCTCCCTACTGAACCCACATGTAAGTTCCATCAAGTGAAAATTCTAAAAAATTCCCTTCAAATTCTATTTATGTATTTATTTGTATTTAGCCTGGGCAAATAGTCTAAGGAAAAAAAGAAAAAAAAAGAGAGATCTTAATCCTATGCATTATGCAGCTTTATGTAGGCATGACTTTTCATCCACAAGCCAGATTTCTGTAATATTCTAGTTTTGATGACAGAATATCCCATAACTACATATAATTTTCCCTCCAGCTGACGTTGCCTCTTGCTCCCACACAGCATGCCTTGAGGTTATTATTTTTACAATGACATCAAGTTTTTTTTTTAAAAAAAAAGGAAAAAACCCTAGTATTTTTCAAACACAATTAAAACCTCAAAAAAAAAAAGTCAACTCGAAGATTATATATTAATGCATAAAGAGTGATGAAGCCACTAAACCACTACTCCCATTTCTTCAGTTCTGACCACCGCTGACATACTGAGTCACGGCCTGAACCTCTGATTGATCACCTGAGGTGAGCCATGAGTCAGCCAGAGGAGCACAGGTGAAGGCAATTCAGCTGTGCTGCCGGAAGGTGACCTCCTAGACCTATTTAAGAGCTGCCTACCAGGGGGGAAGGATCTCTTCTGGAGATCCCTCCTTCTGGTGTTTTGTGGTGAGCCCAGCATAAGGGTAAGCCTTTCGTTTATTCTCTCTTGTTATCATAGTCCACTTCGCCTAACTCTCTTGTTTGTATTGTGATTGTAACATCTTGATATCCATTGATTATACATTGTGATTGTAACATCTTGATATCCATTGATTATACACTGTGATTGTAACATCTTGATATCCATTGATTATACAGGCGCTTACTTTGGAATTTCATGTGCCAGTTAGGTTAGCAAAGAGATCAGTATTATCTATGCTGATAATACCCTTGCCAGCTAACAACTAGGACAGACAGCCTCAAAGCTAGTTTCCACACTGCCTTAGAATAGCTTTGTTCCAACCTAAGTTACTATAGATCAAGAGGAAGAAACATCAATCCAATTTTCTTCTAGTAGGAAAAAGGTCAGAGCATGTTAGATGGATTACAACCTGTTAAAATGCCTAAACCAAATGACCATTTGAAGATGATGAATGCCCCGATCAAAGACTTCCCCAGTTCAGATGTTGGAAAGAATTTATTGCTTCACAACAGGAAAAAAAATATCTTCCCAGTTCCTCCCACCCTCAGTTGGAGCACTATTTATATCGCTTACTTAAATAAGGAGGAAGATGGACAACACTTAGGAATTTGGAATTCTCAAATCTTAAGATTCAAATTAAATGCCTCAAACTAAGTTAGCAAATCTGGCAGCTTTTTTCAAACTCAATCAGAGCTCAGAAAAGGTGGCTTCAATTCTATTTTACATACAGGAATGCAAATTTGTATCAAATGAGCTCAGAAGAATGTCCCAAGGGGTCATTCATCCTGAATTAGATCTGACAGGGCTCACACTGACAATGTACTTCACAGATGACACACTGAACTACTTAACTGTTTGAAACTGCAATGGGCATTAAATGTGCTCACTTGGAAAAGACAACTTATTTAACAAAATATATGATGTATATAATTTCAGAACTTATCAGAGCAGCAGTGATACTTGAGTAGAAACTTATTTCTGTACTATTGCAAATGTTGTCTGGTAAAACAGCATATGGATAGTCCTTCTGCAAGTAGCTGATGTTTCTAGATCACCTAGTCTGCATAGCTGAAACAAACACAATTCCTGTGGCTTGATTTCTTTCACAAAACATGGAAACAAATTCCAGGCAAATCTTGACTGATCTAAAGTGATCATCTCTAAGGTTTTTGCAGAAATTCACTTTTTTCCCCACTTCTGGGGTACTTGGCTCTCAATTCTCTTTCTTACATATTCTTAACTAATAGAATTGTGAACCATTGGATTCAGAAATGTTTACATATTTAATAAGAGTATCAAAACCCCCTGTACTCTAAAACAGGTTCTACACTATCACAAAAGTCAATCTTTCAAATTACACTAAGAAAAAATGTGCTCAGAGACTAACTCAAAGCAGTAAGAGCAAGCACATGCATATGGATTTATATATTCCAAACTGACTGCTTGGTATTTCTGTAAACTTTTATTTATTTCCAGCTATGGGATGCACATACCAATAAATTCTGACTCAAAGGCATTTCAGAACCCTATATCTAACACTGGCAACAGACAAGCACAATCATTCTATTTAAAATCAAGTATTACATCTAGAGCACAGATCTAAAAGCACCAAATTAGCTATACCTTCCATCTGTACACTCAAGAGACAGAATAATCCATCCTTCCCATTCCATTTTGCAGACCATGATGCTTTGGTTAATACCACCAGCAAATGTAAAACACGTAAGCTTTACAAACAGTGAATCTTAATGCATTCTGAGGTAACGATTACCTTTGGATTAAAATATCTGCAGGACTGGGGCTGTGAGCCTCCAAACAAAGCAATGCGATAATCGTGTTTCTTCCTTCTTGGTCGTGTACCTTCCACTAGCTCTTCTCTGTCTTCTGGGGAAAGGAGATGGTATCGCATCCCACCTGGAAGGAAGACAACTGTTGCAGACCCAGCCTAATTCACAAAGAAGGGAATGTTTCAGAGCTAGGAAAGGGAGAAAAGCAGGGACTCAAGTTTCTGCAGTACATCTATGCAGCTTTGTTTTCATTCTTAAATGAAAGAATGTGAGTGTGGCAGATTACATCCAGACTTGCATCTTATTTCAAACTTCCTACTCTGTGTGAAAACTGGACTTGGATATGGACTCGTGTTAGATTCCAATTTATCAATCAGCTCTTTTAGCTAATAACTATGTCTCCCATACTGAAACTGGCAAAAGGAAGCGTGACTTACGAAAAATATTGGCAAAACTGGGTGTCTGAAAGTGAAACATCTCTAGCATCCTGCATCTTAGGAAAAAATCCCACTGTTCATAACTTGACAATGCAAAATAGGAGTTACAATTGCTTTAAGAAAATAGGTGCTTTCTTTTTCTCTAAGAAACAGTCCAAATTATGCAAAAACATTACTGATCTTACAGGTCATTAAAACAAAAACCCTTATTTTTTCAGCAGTGCACCTAATTCCATGTCATGCAGGAGTGCAACTGAGATGTTGATGGTCAGCAAATACTTACCAACGTACAGGTTAATCTGAATCTTACTCGTTGACTGATGGAAAAGAGTTGCATGCCATTTCTAGATCTACACTTAAAGGAAGCTGACTGATTGCTACTGAAATTTTACAAAAATCTTCGAGAGTACTCATCAACACATAAGCTTTATTCTCATACATGATAAAATGATAAAAATGATAAAATGATGAAACTTCAAATTTGATACCTTAAAAGAAGAAAAAGAAATCTTGTTTTCCCTTCTCATTTGTACATTAAGAACATAAGCGTTTACAGCCTCAAATGTCACAGAGTGTGAGAGATGAAAACAGTGCAACTCAGGCTTAACATCCTTATTTGCTTAGGGACACTTCGTAATACTCAAAACTTCAAACTGATTTTTAGTAATTCACCTCTGAGCAATAAGAGACACTGAGGTACTATCCTGTCCCAAAGGCACATTTCCAGTTACACCAGCTCAGTGGCAGAAAATTCATTCCATTATGCATCGTGAAGTTAATGTCATTTGCTAGCGATTCTCACTTTTCTCTTATAAGAATAGATGTTGTGTTCATGACAATCTGCTAATGCAACTTCAACTAAATGCAACACCCTAGAAGGAACAGAGATGTTTTTAATGTGAAAGCATCATCAGAGCATTTGAAATAACTTATAAAAATTTGCATTCCACATCATTTTTAAAATATATAGAACATCAGAGATTTCAACTAGAGGTCAACTTACTGATCACCATCTTAAGGCATTCTGGGTTATCCTGAATAAGTGGTTCAGCCTGAACTGTTTTACTTAGGAAGTTCTTTGATATAAGAGGAAATCGGACTTTAGCAAGAATGTCAACCATGTATGGCTGGCGATTTGGTTCATCGTACTTCAGCCACCTGACTGCTGCATCATAAACCTTAAACAGAAGAAAACAAAAGAAAAGGGTAATGTGCATCACCACAGACTCGGGCAAAAACTAAACATCAGTGCTCCAATCAGATTCTTCCATCCCCTGCAGGGTAACTAATAATAAAATTGCAGTATGCAGAGGCTTCAGAAAAACTATCTATGCCACTATGTTCCAAAAAAGGCAAGACAATGCTCAGGCACAAATTAAAACAAACGAACGGACGCAAGATAAAACCCCTCTATGTTTTTTAAGCCAATAATTTCTACTACCTTTTAACATTTTTCCCAAAAGGAAGCATGAATCTGTAATTCACATCTACGTGCGTAATCCCTGCACAGCATACAAGACAAATATGCTTTGTGTTCAGTGTCACAACACTGCTAGTGCTTCATCAGGAATGTTGAAATAGCTTGTACTTCACACAGTGTCCTAAGCTGACAAACTGTGTTATTAAACCATTCTTAAGAAGTTCCAAATTGTCTCTTAGCAGACCATTAAAAAAAAAATAACAAAAAAAACCCCTATTTTTTTTAAAGCTACAGACTGCCTCAAGTATAGTATTCTGAAACTTTCCTTTGTTATCTTCTCTTTACTGGAAAAGCTAATGGATTTTCTTGGCAGACAGGACAGGGAAGGTAACCAAGAAACCTGTTCTATTTATGATTATCCACTAGTCAGGAAGGAATAGAAAGGAAGTCCAACGTTACCAACGTAGTAACACTCCTCAGTGCTGCTGCAGACATAGCAAACTTATCCAGTACACTGCCATGCCAGAGTCAGCACTAATTTTGTTACGGGTAATAACGCAGTCAATACCCACTCACTGAAGCTGAAACTGATCACGGCGCTCAGTGAATGACTGAAATTAGTTCTGCCATTAAAAGTCTCTCCATGTCATGAGTTATTCAGAAGGACTGCTAAACCTTCCCAGCTGGAATGACCAGAGAGCAAGGGAAAAGAAATAAAGAAACTTAAGACTTAAGTTCCATCAGCTAAGGAAATTCAAAAGAATGTTGGGATATAGCGTTGTTTTCTCAGTCACTAACAGAAACACTATTAGCATACAGGAACAAGAGGCCAAGTAGTAATGAAAGCTATCCTTCCTGCTTCTGCTAAGTGAAAATATGCTTTATACCAATATAAAAATGAAAGTACACTAACTTTCTATTGGTATTCCTGAAAAATAAGATTACTTTGGTATGCTGTCCATTTATAAGAGGAATTTTAATCATGCCATGCTCCTACTTGAAATTTCTATCACTGCTGCCAAGTTGAAGCATGCCATGTTACTTTATCAACTGAACTTCAAGAAATTTATGCTTCTAAAGCATAAATTCCACTGCAAGATAACAAAGCATAAAACACTCCTAACTCTGGGAAAGCTACCTGGGGCCTGAACTCTTCCCAATTCATGGTAAGAATTTTGATCTTGTCACCTGATATTATTTCCCAACACAGCAATTACTATTTTCAGGTAACGTGTATTGAAGAAAATGCATTAATTCTATGAATACTTAACTTCAGAGTCAGTAAAATTCCCGTCTCTATTTAAATGCATATACATACCACCTTGATTACAAGATCCTTCTGATGCACTTTAAAGAGTGTAAATTCATGACAACATGGCTAAATGAATTTAAATTACCCAACACACGCACCAGAACCAGCTAGAAAGGCAAAATTTCAGTGAGGATGTGACTGAGAACCTTCAGGAAGTATCCAGCAGCTACAACCATCTCGCAATCAGCTCTTTTAGCTGCAGTGCAGACACACCTATACTCCATTTCCCTGCAGCAGGAAAAATAAGCTGGCAAACACGTTCAGGGCTATGGTATACTGAATCAAGTGTTCAAAATGGGACAGCTGTGACTAATCTCCACCACAGTTCACAGCTTTTCAATAAAACTTAAGGCACTTCCCATTTACTTAAGCTTTTTTTGTATCTATTCCATAAACAAGGGCCTTCCATCAATCTGTCACTGTCAGTGCTTCTAGGTTTGAGTGTTAGGTCCACCTTGTTCTTAAGTTCTTCAATTTTGCAAGTTTTTTTTATGAATACATGTCTCCATCAGCAGCAGCTCCCTTCTGAAAGAGGCTGACACTCAGCACATAGTCAGGTAGAGACATCACATGCAGTTTGCTCCTCACTTTGAGGTATTCACTTCCACTAACAGTGCCTAAATTCCCAGGCTGGGAGCAACTGTTGTAATACATTAAACTTAATTCAATTCATGTTACATGGGATCAGAAGCCCTGTATCTCAATAAGGGAAACTGTTCTGCCTACATCATTTATGACTTTTCTTTCCATTTTGCTGATATTACATATATTATATCCAGATTAAGTGTGGATATTCATCTTATGTTTCGTTTTGGCCAAGCAGGGATACACTTGCTAGCTGATTGAGTGAAGGACTGTACTGCTTTGCTCTGCACTGGTGTGGCCTCAGCTCAAGCACTGTGCAGGAATACCTGAAACAAGACACTCGAAACTTTCTCTCAATTAAAAAAGAGATAGTGAAGTTCGATCTTCTTAGCTGATAGAAGAGCTCTTTTCACAATGAAACAGATCTCACCTGGTCTTCTGCCCTCACAGTCAGTGTATCTTGGTTCAAGAGGTGTGTCACACGCTTAACATCAAGCTGAAGAAATTCATCTGTCTTGTAAACCTCAGTGAAATGCTGATGGATAAAGTCATCTGCGGTGGCTTTCAGTTCTGGACAGTCTAAGCATTCTGCTAACACACTTATACCTGTGAAAGAAAAATTAAGAAAACCTTTCCAAACTGAACTGCAATTACCTTTAATATGTTTGACTCAAATGGTAATACCATAATTCCAGTGATACTTAGAATGCCAGTTTAGTACTTACTGATATGCTTAATGAAAAAAATACTATCATAATTCCTCTGTAACTCAAGTCAAACTAAGATAAGCACAAGTATGTGAACCCCCCCTCTACAGGGCAAAATGCAAAGTCAGGCCTGTAGCACTTGCTGTACTATTTCTCCAGCACTGTTTCCTTACCATGGAAAATACAACAGTATATTAACTAGGTCTGAGCCACGTAACACTGAAGTCTAACCAGAACAGCTTGATATTTCCAGGTTTCATGACCTGCCCTGACCTGCTCAGGCAGCAAACGTCACCAGCCAAGTGCAACTAAGAGGCACAGTGAGCTGGACTCTTCAGTGTAGTAGTGAAGACTGCTGCAGACCAACACAAAAAAGTCAAGCTAGCACTGAAGCAAAAGCAGAAGCTTGGCGTAAAGCTATGAACAGCAAATGCTGCTGAGAATCACAGAATGGCCAGGGTTGGAAGGGACCCCAAGGATCATGAATCTTCAACCCCCCTGCCCCATGCAGGGCCACCAGCCTCCCCATTTAACACTAGACCAGGCTGCCCAGGGCCCCATCCAATCTGGCCTTGAATACCTCTAGGGACAGGGCTCTGGGGAGAAGTACTATTTCCAACCTCCTCTCTGGTTACCAGGTGAGCACAGAGCTGTTCAGTGGACGCATTTTGCCCACCACGCTATGGTCTTCCCCCTCCTCCTCTTTTGGAGGATGGCAACAAGTGGAGTAGAAGCAACCCCAGAGTGAAATGCAATCCACAGGATGCAATTAGAGTGAAGCCTCTCTACAAAGCAAAATGCGAACTCCAATGATAAAATTCAAGAGTATGACCTAGCTGGTTTTCCAGTGAGAAATAACAAAACTTCAAGAGATTCAAAATAAGTCATAGTTTATTTCAAATATTCATTTTTGTGAGCTGTGGGCTTGCCTGTAAGTCTACATAGAACTCATAAGGTATATCTTTAGGAAAATTTGATTTAATTTCTATCTCCTTTTTGATATGAATTAGCGAAGTATGCAAGTGTTAAAGAATATAATTAATTTTCTAGTTAACAAAGACTGCAGAGGACTGAACATGCCTCAAAGCAAGTGTAAGTGGCATTTTCCTTGGAAAATAATGCCTTCCTTCCAGCAGTTATTTCAGAGCCACTGCTATACTGCAGCATCACAGCACATCACCTGAATGTTTGTAATTCAGATCTTTTGCAAAACATTTGTTGATATTTAAACATCTGTAACATACTTAACTGAGATGTCGTTAGGAGAATTGCATAACTAACATCAATAATTCTAAGTATTTTCTTACATCAAAGACCAAAGATTAAGTACTCCAAATCTCTAAATAATAGTAAGCACCAAGTTCTGCTTGGTGTTTGTATTTTTGTAATACTGAGTTTGCATTAAGGCTACAGGGCACATCAAACAGCAAAACAGTGCAGATGTCTTTCATAGATTTCACTCCCTTTTGTTTTTAGCTGCTGCTTTCTCCTTTTGATTTCACTCAAACAAACTCATTTTATTTGGAATTTTTAGAAGGTATGTCAGTTTTGTATAAACTACGACCGTCAAATTTAGTCTCCAAGAACAGTAACAACAACTGAAAGCATCACCTTGTTAAACAGCCGAGGATCTGAAACAAACAAGAATCTCCAGGCTGTTGTTAAACTGGGATGAGACCTTGCAAAGTCAGTGGATCCTGACACTGGCCAAGATAACTGACAAATTATTTTGTTTATGGCAAGGGGAAACAGTTCAGATTCAGAGCAAAATTATTCTTTGCATGCATTTGGATTTAGCCAAGTACTACTGTCTGTTATACTATTATACTACCTGTTTTTCAAGAACAGAAAAGTTAAAAAAGTGACCAGTCCATATTTCTCTTACCAAGACAATTTGAAGCATCAACTTGTTCTTTCAAAAAGTCCACACACATTTTTTTCACAGGTTCAATTTGATATTGGTTTGCTGCATCTAGTAAAGACTGGACATTATTGCTGTTAACAGAAATTCTGCAAAACAGAAGGTGCAATATTAGCATCACTAAAACTACCTCTTAGTCGTAGCCAAAACACCGATCCATAAGTGGCAAAATTATTCTCCTGCTATCTCCCCAAGCTTCTTGAACTCACAAACAGTTGAGACACAACTTCCCTTCATAGTCTTTTCAAATTGCTTTAATTTGCTGTACATTACTGAGGAAGGTCAGAGAGCAAACAGTGCAGGATTAGCCTGTTAAAGAATTGGCTAGTTAAAGAATTAGCCTTTAACACAGGCCATCTGGAACACCATGCTCTGATTTGTGTGGTTAGCCATTTTCACAAGAACAGAAAAGGAAAAGAGCCTTCCCCTGACAGCCTCCCACTCCCAAATGCACATCAGTGAAATCTGCCTAAACTCATTGTCAAAACTGCTACAGTTTATTTGCCTAGAGTGCACAAGCAGAACAACCATTCTGACTGCAAGGCACCAAAAGGGCTAGGGTGCCAGCATCGGCTGCATCTCACCACAGATAAGCACATACAACTTCTCTTAGAAAGCAGAGAAAAAGCCTTCACCCCATCACTACAAAGACAGGGTCTGCCATCCATCATAAGAGCTTGTTGCAAAGTACTGCTCGGAATCCCAGTCTTTTGAACAAGCTCCGTTTAAACGTTACAGTGCCTGCAGTGCTATTTAAAAACAAACACATAGGAGATAGAAGGGAAATGCATTTTGCAAAGCAGCTTCCCACTCAGACTGTGCAGAGGTGAAGGTGTAAGTCCCCAAAACAGGTATTTGTGATAGTTGTTAGGATCATGAGGAGAAGCCCCTGCTTATAACAAGAAGGGTCTACATTTCAGAACAATGGTGAATATAATTCAACTCCAACACGGACGCCAGAAGTATTCTTAATTACTTTTTGATGACAATTACCACTCTCTTTAGTCCACAGGGCTTCCCTACTGATGAAATAAATAGGAAAAAGGAAGGAGGATATAAATTTAGTCACAACAGACTTAAAACAAGTGAAGAATTGTAATAATATGAAAACTGATGAATCATAAAAGCATTGTTTTAAGATTTCATCATTTAGAGTTGGCAGGCTTTCTAGCAGAAGCATCAGTTTTAAATAACAAAACTACCTTGCAGTATAAGCAAACTCCACAAGCTGTTCAATAATGTCAGGTTCCGCATCTTTCAGCTCCACCTCAAAGGACTTTGATTCAAGCATATTTGCTGCAAAAAGGTTAAAAGACAAACTACATCAATAAGCCACTCCAGTTAGTTTCCATTTTAAAAACTAGGAAATAAAGTCATTATACAAAATGGGAACCTGCTAAAAACTGCACACAGTTGGTTGCTGCTTTTCCCTTACAAATGCAAGTCAAGAAAGAAAGAAGAGGTTTGATAACCAAAATAAGTGGTGTGTGCACATGTTTGCATTATGTCAATTTTGCTGAAAAGTGCCTTAAATGGGAACGGTCAAAAATGCTGTCGGACTGCAATGCAGACTGCCAAGCCAGCATGACCAAAGATAGGAAGCATGCTCTGCACCACCAAAGGCTATTTCCATATTCAAGCTGATAACAGCAGAGCCAGCTCAGAGCTCCCACGCTGTCACAGCACTGCAGATCTACCCACAGATGGATACAAGCCAACCACCAGAAGGCACAGACATTTTACTTCTTCAGTTTAACATGTGATTTATAGCACAGCAATTTTACTTCTGCATACCTGACCTACGACTTGTAAGATAGATACTATGCAGTTGAACGTATAAAGGCAGAACAAGTACAATAATGCTTACATTTTTTGGAAACAAAAATAAGAGGAATGGTGAATAGAGATGAATGGAAGATGGATAAGAACTGAGGAAATCTTCACTTACGCCTGTCCCTGAAATTAATCACTTCATAAAAAAGAAACTGTGACTGACAAGCTGTTTATCAAGATGTGTTCATGAAAGAATAAAATTAAGCAATTTGGAAAATACTTACTAGTAAACATCAAGTTAAAAAAGTGGCTTGCTGAGGCGAGCACAACACGGTGAGCTGGGATCCTCCTTTCCTGAACCATAAGAATAACATCACAGAGCGTTCTCTAAATCAGAGGAAGAAAACCAGATGGAAAAACAGAAGATCAGCATTCCTGAAACACTTTCAACAATATTTCTCTAAAAACAGCTTATGAAAATTCATTGGTCTCCTGTATCTGCATAAACCCAAATAGTATCACACAATAAAAAGATTTTCTGAAAGTCAACAAAGCTCAACAACCTGAAAAACTAGGGAAGCTCAATGCTCCCATGACCTTGTGCCTTCAGGCTGGTCACTGATAACACGAGCTGTGATTAAAGCTTTTCCTGTGGCATTTATGTCAGCCTCCTATGCTAAAGGCTCCGCAGCATTGAGCAGGGACTACACTGACATTCCATCCTTTTCATCCTTATCTACTCAACTGCCAATCTGTTTTTTAAGCTTCTTACAGGATACTCATCAGAAAGCATTCACTGAATAAAACATAAATAACACATTTCAAAAAGAAGAGTCTGAATTACAAGTGCAGATTTGGGGAGCGTATGTGTCGCTAAACTTCCTTTGTACATCCAGGACTTTAAAACATTTAAGATTGAAACAGTAACAAAAAAGACCATGTGAACAAAGTTTCAAAGCTGGAATTCCCAGCACATCTGGCTCCAAACAGGTACATTAGCAGTACACAACATCATAGGACACTGTGGCTGAGCTTTGCTACGAAACAGAACTGCTGCTTTAACTACATGCTGTGTTTCTAAGGCAGGTTTGATGCCTCAGCTCAGTATTTGAAGCATCTCAGATACCCTAAAGCCTCACTGGATGTGGGAAAAAATATCTGCCAACCAAACCAGATCATCATTCTCCTTTCTTTTCCTGTGACATTTCTGGATGTAACTGTTCTGTTTCAACCATGGTACAGAAATGCTCAGTAAGAACTTTCCAAAAGGATCTGTTTGCATCACTCAGTAATTCTGCTGATGCAACCCATGACTGCTGCTTCATCGACCAAAGCACACACCCCAAGCGTCACCCAGCATTTCCAAGCTTCATTAACTCGATGACACCTTGCAACTCCATCCCAGCTTCATTCTCAGCTTCTTCCTTTTGACCCATCTCCACTCAGCTACAAAGTGGCAACACAGGATGTATGCACATGCTGTCAAAAAAGCTCATTACGTACAGAGATACATCCATTTCATTTTTGAGGTCAGCAATTAGTCCTTATGCATTGAACATACTCCCAGTATCTCACCAGAACTGAATGCCAACATGCCCACAGTCTACTCCAAAATCCCACACATAGCAGCTGACTATAGATCACAGTTCACCAAAAAAAAAAAAAAAAAAGCAGCCTCTTCAAAATTAGCTGTGCTTTGTACCTGTCCCATTTTCCTACATCATTAACCAAATGCATATGAACAGGTAGGCTCTGCACACAGGCTGCTGTTTCTATCACAGGAGTTTTAACTCATAGTGCATTGAGGTTTTATAACCACAGCAGAGGTCTCAACTTACCAAAATATGACAGCAGCTTCCTGCAGCACAAGGAGCAAGCTGAACACTTTCCTATGGTTGCTGCTCCTCCTACACACAGCTAATAGAAGCAGGAATGTCTCAAACTACCCAAAAGTTTCTAGACTAGTCAACTGGCAGGGGTGAGCAGACATAAAAGCCACCATCTGAAGTCTGGCTAAAAGTAAAAAGTAGCAGGCAAAATTTAGAGTTGCATCCCCAATCCCTCAAGCACAGTTAGTTTGAAGACAACCAGAAGCGGCACAACACTTTGGTTTGATCCTCTCACACTGGGGGCTGTATCTCCTCTGCCTGCTTGATGTCTCAAAAGCTGATTATTTGACATTTTTGTGTGGCTGAGGGATTTTGCTCAAGGTTGAAGCTCTGCTTTAAGTTCCAGATGTCCTGCTCATTGAGGATAACTAAACTTCCCAAGACGAGCTGTTTCTCTTCAGAGATCCAAGATGGCCATAAATAAGGAACAAGAAAAGACACCTTTGAGATGAGACACGAGTCTAAAATAGTAATCAATCAGATGAGACTAAGTATTATGCTCAAACACAGATGAAGTGAGGAGTGGGACAGCTCTCCAAATGATCACTAGAAGACCAACCAAAGAACCCCGCGCAATCGCAGAAGATTCAAATGTTATGTAAGCTTACATAACTCTATGAATATGTCATAGGTAGGCGTGACTTATGTATTAGGTAGGTGGATAGTGAAAGCATTTTGGACTATAAATAGAAGTCAGTGTAAAGACTTTGCGTGTTTGATTTTTGGGCATTTCACGCCTTGCAGCCCATGTAGAATAAACGCCTCTTCTAAAAAGACTTGTCCTTTCAAACATGTTTCAGGAAACTTAATTGACAACGTGTCTCCAAAGCATAACAGCACCAGGCATCCCCTTGTCAACAAGGAGAGAGGCAGGAGCTCAGCTACACCCCACCAGAACAGAAACAAATCCTACATCAATAAGCAGATCACAGCATGGCTTAGGTTGGAAAGGGACCTTAAAAATCATCTAATTACCCCCCCCTGCAGCAGGCAGGGCTGTCATCCAGTAGGTCAGGCTGCTCAGGGCCCCATCCATCCTGGCCTCGAACGCCTCCAGGGATGGGGCATCCACAGCTTCTCTGAGCAGCTGTGCCAGTGCCTCACTACTCTCTGCTTAAAAGGATTCTGCCTAACATCTAACCTAAACTTCCTCTCTTTTAACTTAAAACCATATTCCCTTGTCCTGTCACTATCAGAACATGTGAGAAGTTGGTCCTCCTGCTTATAAACTCCTTTTAAGTACTGGAAGGTCACAGTGAGATCTCCCCAGAACCTTCTCCAAACCGAAGCAGCACAGCTCTCCTAAACATTTCTTCATAGCAGAGGTGCTCCAGCCCTCCCATCATCTTCGTGGCTCTTCTCTAGACCCGCTCCAACAGCTCCACATCCCTCCTGTACTCCAGGCCCCCGGGATGCAGTACTCCAGATGGGGCCTCGTGAGGACAGAGCAAAGGGGACAGACAATCACCTCCTTCTCCCTGCTGTCACCTCTCTCGAGATGCAGCCGGGATACAGCTGGCCTTGTGGGCTGTGTGTACACTTCTGGCTCGTGGGCAGCTTTTCATCCATCAGGATCCCCTGGTCCTTCTCAGCAGAGCTGCCCTCACAGCTTTGAGTCCCTGCATAACTCTTAACATTTCATTACCTCAGATCACCACAAAGTTTTCACGGAGACCGACTTAGTCCTTCACACACCGCTGAGCTGCGTGAAGTTCTACAAGTACACGAGAGTAACTGACGGCCCGTCGGACGGGAACGAAGGGAGGAGCAAAGCAGAACCAACGCCGCCGCTGCCTGCCGGTTTCTGACGGCAGGACGGCGCCCTGTCCAAGGCTCGTGCCGGGAGAAGCGCAGCCGAACGGCGGCACGTGACGGCGCCACGCACGGAGCCCCCGGCCCCAACCCCGCCCGGCTCCGAGCGCCAGCCCCAGCGCCGAGCAGCCCGGCCCGCACCTGCTTGCGCATGCTGTTCATGACGCCCATAAAGCCAGCCAGCAGCTTGGCCTCCTCGCGGGCTGCGAGCTTCTTCTCCGTCTTCTTCTTGCTGCTCTTCTCCGAACCGGGAGCGGCCATGGCCCCTCACCGCCGGCACCGCGGTCCCGCCACCTCCGCCCACGGGGGGCATGCGACGACGGGCGACGAGCGGCCGCCTCGGGCTCTCGCTGCGCCGGGAGCGGATGGATGACTAGACAGACCGACGGACAAGTGAACGGACAAAGCCGTCAACCAGCAACACCGAAAATCTCCGCGGCGGAAGCGGACCGGGGCTGGTGGGCGGGGTGGGGCGGCGCTGCGCATGTGCGGACGCCGCGGACCGGAGCGCTGCCCCCGCACGAGGTAAACAAAGAGCGGAGAGGCCTCTGCGCGTCACGTGGCGCTGGGGCGGCGTGCGCGCGCCATGGTGGGGATGGGCGGAGAGGCGGCCGGGTGAGGCGGGCAGGCGCTGCGGTGTGTGCAGCCCAGAAAGCGGGCTGTATCCCGGACTGCTCTTAGTAGTACGCTGTAGGAGTACGCTCTCAGCTTGTTAAGCGATGTGATTCCCCCCATTGCTAAATCCTGCCTGAAATGCTGCGTCCAGCTCGGGGCCCCTAGCTCAGGACAGGCATGGACCTGCTAGAGTGGGTCCGGAGGACGGCTGCCAGAATAATCAGGGGGCTGCAGCACCTCTCCTGGGAAGACAGGCTGAAGGAGCTGGGCTTGCTCAGCCTGTTCTAGAAGAGAAGGTTCCGGGAAGACCTTACTGTGGCCTTTCAGTAAAGGGCGCTTCTATGAAAGGTGGAGAAAGGTTTTAGCAGGGCTTGTAGTGGTAGGATGAGGAACAACGCTTTAAGACTAGAGAAACAGATTTAGTCTGGATATAAGGAAGAGATTCCTTACTCACAGGTTGGTAAGGCACTGGCACAGGCTGCCCAGAGAAGCTGTGGATCTGCCATCCCAGGAGGCGTTCAAGGCCGGGTTGCACTGTCGTCTGAAATCTGTGAAGAAAGCTGTGTAACTTTCTGTTGCACTTTCTGTGTAAAAATAATAGTGTTGACACACTTGGCTTTCTATATCTTACTAATGTAAAAATGAGGCACCTGTACTTTTCATGCTGCGGCAATAGGCTATTATCTCCAACTTAATACATCTGCCTTGGTGATGAACTGGAAACACTGGGACCGTGCCTGGCTAATTTCGTATTTCACAGGTGAGGTGCTCGTATGAGAACGGTGGGGGCTGGCTGCTCCAAAAGGGTGGTGAGCTGTGGGTGAAGCCATGTGGAAATAAACAAAGCCACTAAGGAAGAACGTGTCAAGTTGAGAAAATAATGGACAACAGAAACTGGTGTAAAGTCAAGGATAAAATCTCTTACTCCAAACTTTGAAGTGAGTATTGGCAGAAGTTGGCTCCTCTTGAAATCTGAGAAATTAAGTTCAAATCATTTAAATGAAATGGGCAGTCTGTAACATAAATTGGGAGTTTCATACAAATGAAACCATTGTAATGTCTTGTGTCTCATTTAGACATGTTATTAATTCTCAAAGGACTCTATAAACTTTAACAACTGAATGATGTTTTAACCTGATTCCCAAACAGAGGTTAAAATTAAGAACGGAAAAGGATTATAATTTTTTTCTAAATTGCATTTTACATGTGAGTTTGATAGGAGAACAATTGGCCTAGCATAAACAGTATTATGTTTGTCGTGGCTTTTGAAGTGTATCCAATTATATTTTGAATGATAAACTAGTGCTGCTAACCAGGTTAGTGCAGCACAGCTGGGCCCTAAAATGTTTTAGTGAACACTGCATGCTTAATCCAATAATCTCTAATCTATGGCGTGGGAGGAATGTTTCCATCAGGAAGATGTAGTAGTGTGTATCATGTAATTTAGAAGATTAGCCAGACCTGCCTCTGCAGTATGGTCTTGACAGGATGCCGTGTACCAATCATGTCCAGCTCTTTGCTAGGCTGAGACCAAATCTCAGGATATTTGCAGCAGAGTGCTGTTCTGTCACCTTGGCACTGGGGTCAGATTAATTCTCCTTTTGTCACACTAGTGATAGTAACTTCTTACATACGTCAGTAAATGGTAACTGTTGTCCCTTGTCTTTTGCAATTCACAAAGCAAGGCTGGAATAAAAGTTCTGAATTTAAAAGCTTGTGACATCACCTTACATCACCATGATACGGACTCATTATGGAAATGACTGCTGTGCTATTGATAGACCTGTCTTTCTGGCTTTGTGTCTTGATCTCTCAAGCCTGGCTCTGCTCACCCTTCTCATGCCACTTCTGTATTCAGATGAGACAACACTATTGCTGCTTCCCTGTTACCTATCTGCAGAGCTTTCTGCCTCTTGTGGGCAAAGTGCATATTTGGGAAAAGGAGGAAGATTAGGAGAGCTGTTCGTCCTTAGGAAAAAGCAAGAGGGCAGGAGGGGGTTGTGCTGGACTTGGAAAATGTCTCTGGCACAGTGCGGATTTTGCCACTGAGACCAGGATGCAGGGAGAGAAGTCCTTCCTGTGCCAGGCCAATTTCCTTTGAAAGCAAAGTGATCCTCTCCAAAAGATTTGATGTACACAATGCTTAGCAGTTTTACAGTTCTTGGCAGCCCTGTAGTGAGAGATTCAAATGCCCTGGGTTGGCTTTTGTGGCAGGTTGAGTGCCCTCTGCTTATGCTGGCATGAATGACTGATGGATGTGTTCGTTGCTGCTGTGCACAGTGCTCACAGTTCTGAGGAAGCACTGAGGTCAAACAGAAAATCATGGCTCTAGGAAATAGTTCAGGCTCAGTTCAGCATATTAGGACTGAAGCAGAGCAGGCATGTTTGGCAAGAAAGGAAGATTGCCCAGATGAGGCTCTGATTACATATTTAACAGACAGTGCTTTTAAGGTCAGCTCTCCTCTTGAGTTTGTGATCAGTTCAAATTCTGTGGATTAGAGAAATACGAGCCAACATGTCACAGCAGAGAACAAAAAGATCGATGACAAGCACTCACTTCAGACACAGCTGGATGACTGAGGCTATGACACCAAAGATGAAAATAGATGCTTGGCTGTGGTTGGTATTAAGATAGGGATTATCAGCAGGTTGCCTCTTTGCAAAGGACTGTGTGTGGGTCTCAGTTACATTTTCTTGCAAAGTGGCGAAATGCTTTCTAAATTTTAGTGTTTCTGATTCTTATTAACTTAGTCCATGCCAGACATTAAAATACATGTATATCTTAAGGCTGTTCTTCATTTATCCCAGACCAGTTCATTTTCACAGTATAGCTACGAGTAAAAATCTTAACTATGTTAAGAGAAGAGCCAGGACACACCTCAGCACTGATGCTCACTAGAGGCACAAGCAGGAGATGAGCTTATCACCACATTAGCTGGAACCCCTTACTGAAAGCATTAAGGAGATGAAACAGTGTTTGTTTTCTTGCACTCTCAGGAGCAGTGGGACAACTTAGACTTGATGAAGTCAGCATTTTGGCTTTGAACTGGTACATTTTTAAGTGTTGTGGTCTCCTTTGGAGGATTCTCTTGATGGCTGCCAGTGGTCTGTTCTGCACAGGGACTCCTTGTCCCCCCTTTATGAGCCCTTCTGAGCTGTGCCAAAGTGCGGTCTGAATTCTGTCTGAATTATTTCCTTGGGTTTGAAGCATTTCCAGGGTACCCCTGCCTGAACAGTTTATTAGAGGTTTTTCTGCCTTCTTGGCTTGGAGTGTTGTTTTACTGTTTTGGATGAAGGCTTTCTTGGTGTTCTCTGTTTTCTTAAGTCCAAGTGCCCTTTCACAGGGTTTTATTTCCTTTTTCTTAACAACATTTTCCCTGTTTTTCCCCCATCATGATTAAGACTTGTGCCTTCTGTGTTAATGGAGGGCAGGCTTACAGCTCTATGAACTATGGCTTACAATGCCCCCTGCTATTCCAGGTTTTATCTTCTGGTAGATGTCAGTTGAATTAAAGTGTTCAAGGCAGGGATAAAATTGGTTTATTCTTTATTTGCTTGTTCATGATGTTTGCTTCCTTTTTGCATTAAAGATTAAGGTCCTCCTGGAACACTCTGGACCACAAAATAATTAACAAGTGAAGCCTCATCTGGTGATTTTTTTTCTCTCCATGTAACAGCTGTGTTTACTGTTTAATTTTTGTTGCGTGATAACCTAGGCAAGGACACTTATCAAGCAATGCACTCCCTGGCTGAATTTTATGCTGTTTGTTTGCACTATTGTAATGCAACTCATCTGTATCCTAGCAATGAGGTTTGGAACAAGATGGGTTAATAACCAAAATGCAGCTTTGCCTTGGCAGCACAGGTTCGTAGTGCCTTTTCTCAGTTTGCCATCCTTCCTTTGTCAGCACTTCCATTCTAACTCATTGTGGAATAATTTATTGTCAGAGCCAGCCAAAGGAGGTGATTATGACAAATATTTGTAAACATTCTGAAAACAAACTCAATTTTGGAATGGATAAAACAAACAGTAGAAGAAGAAAAGCAGAGGACTCCAGATTCCCAGTCCCTGTCTGGCTGACCTTCCCCCCCGTCCCCTTCCCATGGGTGAGATGAGGTTAATTCTGCTGCAGGACGCATTGCAAAAAGTCATTTTTTTAGTCATTAATATCTGTCCTACACTGAATACATCTCTTGTATTTTGTTAATGTTTGGAAGTAATTTCAGGCTTTCAATTTAGCTTTTCCACTTTGAAGATTGGTAAATATTTAGACTGCCTACAATTCTTGACCCTTTCCCAGGGAAAAAAAATCACAGAATTATAGAATAATATTTATACAAGTATTTGAGCCAGTTCAGTAACTGTTGTAGTGCAGGCTGTAATAGTGTATCAGGAGGGCAGCAGAACACAGCAGGGCTGTGTGTGCAGCAGGATTTTGGAGTTGGCATTGCTGTCTGCTGGTAGCGCTGCCCCTGCTGCCTGGAGCTGACCCGAAGGGCTGGCTTGTGGAGTCTGCTTGTTCTGCTGGCTGCTGGATCCCACGTGTGTCCTGGTCTTCCTGGCCTGAGATAGGGGCAATCAGCCCCAGTGTGGGAGATTTTGCAAGGTCATAATAATCACAGATTAAAAAAAAAAATAAAAGAAAGCCAGAGTAGAACCAAGTGTGAAAAAACAAGAGTTTTTTTTTGATTGCTTGAAGTTACTGGGCATCAACCTGATGAAGTCTGGAGCTGAGTTTTACTGAATTTTAAATACCACAGCCTTATAGTGACAACTTGCTATAGGGTTGCACCTGTTTCTCTCCAGCATCTACTGCCCTTCCACGTGTTATAGCAACTGGAGCCCCTAAATGCCAT